AAGAGAATTTTCTTACATTACATAAAATAGAATATTTGCTAAAGTATGATTTGCAAAACATCTAGTTCATTGTATATTTATTAGTTCTAATTACTTCTTTAACCAGCTTTATATACGCCCAAAACTGAGTGCAAGCACAATGGTGTTCTAGGCAAATATTTCTTCTCAAATCAATAAAGAAGCTTTTCGATGAGTGAGTGAGCAGAATATAACAATAGTTTATTAGATGAACTGTTGTATGTAGAGAAGAATATATTAAATCAATCTTTCAAAACAAAAGTAATATAGAGTCACACGGAAGGGTTGGCGGGACGGAAACGAAGCCAACCAAAAGCCAAATTCAGATGAGCAGCAAAAGAGGATGAGAGAATTCATCCTCATAAATGCCAAAGAGAGGCAATCCAAAAAATTAGTCGTTTGCAACAGAAACTGGCGCGGATAACCGAGAGAGCATCCATGAAGTGGCCGATGTAATTCAAGCATCCAAAAATCAGGTTTTGGACTAATGATTCGGAAATAGCGAACAATATGTGCTCGCAGTGGATAGGACGAATTCAAAATCCAATGATTAGCAGAAAAAAAACCACTAAAAACAAAAGGGAAGAGAAAAAACTTCCCTGATGCCGATGGCGACATCGGGCGCAGGAGGTGAGAAGACGAGCTGAAGCAATAGCTGAGAAAGGGGGCAGTTAGGGCGACAGCCCTAGCAACACGAGGGTTCACACAAGAGCCTGAAGAAGACCCAATTTTGATAAAAAAAAGTTACATCGCTTCTCAAATGAATACTTAGGGTACGTTTGGATGATGATTTTGATTTTAATGGCTTTTAAAAGCAAACTTGTAATATTAAAAAATTTAATAAAAATATATGATAAAAATTTCCCAATTAAAACTTTTTGTTCACGTTCCGGCTGTATAGAAGCAGGCGGAACTCTATATAACCTAGGGGGCAATTGCCCCCCCCTTCAAAAAAAAAAGAAAATTAAGCTTAAAATGGAGAGTAAAAAATTCAGTTTGCACCTCTAAAAAATTTTTAATTTTTGCCCCCTAAAAAACTTCTTTCATAGTCCTATTCATGTGGCTTATTATCATGCTAACATATTCATTATTTTACTTTATCTTACTCGCCAATGCTCTACATATCTATATTTCTTTAATTGCTAGACATAGGATAATGAAGGTCATTTTTTCGTATGCAATAAACTATTATTTTAGAAATACCTTTGAAGTGAGTTAATTAGTGCACAAAAAATCTCTAGGATTTGATTAAGAATATCAATTATGTATATTTCTTTCATGTTCTTGCAATATTTTTTTTGCTTTTTTTTGTAGCTAAAAATGAAGATTTTGATAGACATTTAGTTTGGATTTGGAAGATAAATTTTTTTTTTTTAGATCAAATATAAAGCTAAAAAATTTTAAAACAACTTTTCATAATATTATATATAATATTTTTAATATTTAATTATTTAATTATTTTTATTTTTTATTTAATTATTTTTATATTAAAATTGCCCCCTCAAAATTGGAGCTGGTTTCGCCCCTGTGTATAAGGAATGCACGCATTTCCATTATACGTTGCTCGTTGTATGCTGCTCTTGCATGGCCCATTAGACCTTCATTGAGAGCAACAAAGAAGATATTAGAAACACAATAATATTAGAAAATATTTAACTATAGAAATACATAAAATAGCTGAATTGAAAAGGTCGCCGATCCTCACTCTTTAAATTAAACCTCTCTCTCTAGATCTCTACCTCGCATGCAAATCTTCATTTTTTTCTATAGAGACATGCAAGTTCTAGACTAATCAATCCACACAAGTCCTCTGTCTAACCCTTAATCCTCTTAGATGTTAATTAACGCAAGAGTAGCCAGTTTTCTCATGATCTCTACATTTTTCATTTGAAGAAAAGAATCTTTTTTATGCATAGATAGATGATATGGACATTAATTACATATTTTTAATGAATTATAAAAATATAAATATATTCAATGCATCAAAATAATGATTCGGATCAAATTGATGAAGGTTGATATGTAAGAAAAATCCATCTCGATCTAGCACGAATCTTGAAGCCAGCTTGCATTGGGAACTTTCAAATTGTATTCGACCATCCAAACTCTAATTTAAATAAACTTATAGTCAAATTGAACATCTCAAGGAGATGAACCCATCAACACAAAATTTGGTCCATCTTAGCCCAAATTTGCACAAATCAAATGACCAAAGCCTATATGAAATATTCAAAGCATTAATTGGGAGTTCAAATGATAATCAAATATGACATGTTTATAAGTGACTTGAGCGGCTCGATGAGATGAATCCAACGAGCCCAATAGCACTCAATTTTGACATCTCTAAGCCAATTAAATGATAAACGGTCTATGATCAAGGGAGTCACATTAACCATTCGATAGAACACTCAAACTTGTACTAGATTTTCTTCATATTTATTAAGGATGCCACTCCAAAAAAAATGATAAATAGCCCCCTTTTCTTCACATATAAGAGGATGAGAGGAGATAAGAAAACTTGAGAGCTCTCTTGTACTCTCCATATGGCATTGACTATCATCTTGATGACTACGGTCCTTCCAATCTCTATCACCCGACTATAATTATTTCAACTTACATAGCCCGCTGACTATAATCACTCCGATCATTGATGCCTAATTATGATCCATCCAACTCCGATTCAATGGCCCTAAGGACCAGACAAACAGGCCCATACTCTCTTAATAATAGTTTTCGTGTTGTTCTCCAACTTTATAATGTATTTGATGCGATTTGTATTTGCTACTTTGAGCCATCACCCCTCATCTGAGGAAGGACATTATTTGAAATCAATTATCAACACTAGTGCAAGCAATTCGACTTGGCTAGTCCTCATGGTTTTTCTCTCTTTTGGGGTTTTTCAAATAAAAATTCTGGTCTTTTATACAAGATGCACACTACTCTTTTACCCATCGCCCTCATCTGAGCGCAGCATGTCACCCGGTATATAGTCACGTTATGCAACAAATATGTGATATGTCATATTCTGATTCACCTTTATACAACGTCTGTATCCGCACAGAAAGATGATTTGGGAGATTTTCTTCATATTTATTAAGGATGCCACTCCAAAAAAAATGATAAATAGCCCCCTTTTCTTCACATATAAGAGGATGAGAGGAGATAAGAAAACTTGAGAGCTCACTTGTACTCTCCATCTGGCATTGACTATCATCTTGATGACTACGGTCCTTCCAACCTCTATCACCCGACTATAAATTATTTCAACTTACATAGCCCGCTGACTATAATCACTCTGATCATTGATGCTTAATTATGATCCATCCAACTCCGATTCAATGGCCTTAAGGACCAGACAAACAGGCCCATACTCTCTTAATAATAGTTTTCGTGTTGCTCTCCAACTTTATAATGTATTTTATGCGATTTGTATTTGCTACTTTGAGCCATCGCCCTCATCTAAGGAAGGACATTATTTGTAATCAATTACCAATACTAGTGCAAGCAATTCGACTTGGCTAGTCCTCATGGTTTTTCTCTCTTTTTGGGGGGTTTTCAAATAAAAATTCTAATCTTTTATACATGATGCACACTACTCTTTTACCCATCGCCCTCATCTGAGCGCAGCATGTCATCCGGTACACAACGGTATATAGTCACGTTATGCAACAAACATGTGATATGACGCATTCTGATTCACCTTTATACAACGTCTGTATCCGCACAGAGAGGATGATTTGGGAGAGAGTAAAAAAAATTAAATAAAAATTTTAAACATCCCGTATATATATGAATTTATCTTAATAACTTAAAAGGCCAAAAAAAAAAAAAGACCATTAAAACTTGCTTCAGAATCATTCATTTGTCAACGTCAATTTCTCTTCTCAACAACAAACAAACAAACAAACAAAAAGGGAAACGCATACACGCACACACATTGTTGTGCTTCAGGAGTGTCCACTTGTCCCCACGTTCTTGCGGGAGGTGGGCCCAATACTCCGAAGCCGTTGCCGACCTCTCCTACTCAGATACTTTGCACTAACAAAAAAGCAATCCTAATTGGCTTTATTTTTTTCGGATTAATGAAAAATAAATAAAATTATGTCAGAAATTTGGAAGAAATTATCATTAATTTATTTTAAAATTAATATAATATAAAAATTCAACAATTAACATTTATCTTAAGTTAGATCTATTAATATTTAATTTATTTATAATGTAATTTATATTAAAATATTATGATATTTTTTCCTTAAAATAATAGCAATCAAATACATTATTTTCATACTCATCTCAATTTAACTTTTAAAAATGTTTAAAATTTATAGATTTTACATTATTAAATTCTTAATTTATATTTAGTCATTCCTCATTGCTTCTCCAAGGCAATTTTTTTATAACAACATTTCAACTAATGAGTTTTTTTGGGAGACTTTACAGCCAATCAGAGTTCACATTTAAATTTATTTTTTGAATAATTAAACTCAATATAATATACAAATCTTAGCTTAACACTCATAGTTTAATTTAATATTTTAGCCAAAAAAAGTACAAAAATAGTTATAAATTATCTGATCTTAAATTAATATATTTATAAATTATAATTAACACATAAAAGTACTGCTGGTTTAAATTTAATTAAAAAATAAAATCTCACAACTGAGACCTTATAAATTATTACCTCCCTATCCAATCATAACTCTGGAGCATCTCCCCCTCAAAAAAATAAAACAGTTTTGTATTCTCTGTTTTATAAAAACGCCGTCCATCCGCCCACCGGAAACCTATGGAGCCCTACCCACACTCTCCGGCGACGCCCACCGTTTCCCCTCCCACATTTTAATTAAACTCCCTTCTTCCTCTCCCCCCAACTCTCAACCCAATCGCAGACATCGCTTAACACGATGGTAACCGATGAGGATCCCTCACCGCCGGCGACTCCCACCGCCACTTCCGATCCAAACCGAAAAGTTTTGTTCGGCAAGTACGAGATGGGCCGACTATTAGGTCAAGGCACTTTTGCTAAGGTGTACCATGGCCGGGATCTCTGCTCCAGAGAAAGTGTTGCTATCAAAGTCATCAGCAAGGATCACATCCGGCGAGAATCCTGCTTGTCCGCACAAATTCAGCGCGAGATCTCCATCATGAGCCTCGTCGGCCACCCCAACGTCGTCGAGCTCAAGGAGGTGATGGCCACTCGATCTCGTATCTTCGTTGTCATGGAATTCGTGCGCGGCGGCGAGCTTTTCTCTCTCGTAGCCCGCGGCCGCCTTCCCGAGGTTCTGGCCCGACGATATTTCCGACAGCTGATTTCCGCCGTTGATTTCTGTCACTCCCGCGGAGTTTCTCACCGGGACCTGAAGCCGGAGAATCTTCTTCTCGACCTCTCCGGCAATCTCAAGGTCTCCGACTTCGGGCTCTCAGCCCTTCCAGATCAGCTCCGGCACGACGGTCTTCTGCATACGCAGTGTGGCACGCCGGCGTACGTTGCGCCGGAGGTGCTCCGGAGCAAGGGATACGACGGCGATCGGGCTGATATATGGTCCTGCGGTGTTATCCTGTTCGTCCTCCTTGCCGGATTTCTTCCTTTTCAGCACGAAAATCTGATGCGAATGTACAGCAAGGTGTTCCGCGCGGATTATCAGATCCCGCCATGGTTTTCCCCTGACGCCCGCCGGCTGATTTCCCGACTCCTAGTCGCCGATCCGAAAGCTCGGATCTCTATCCCTGAAATCCTCCGCCACAGCTGGCTCCGCTGCAGCGATTTCCCGTCGCCGATCTCGATTTTACCGCCGATTTCTCCTCCAGCGGCGGAATCGGACTCCGAGGGGAAGGAACAAGGCGATTCGCCCAGATTCTACAACGCGTTCGAGTTGATCTCGGCCATGGCCGGAGGTTTCGATTTGTCTGGAATGTTCGAAGGAGAAGGGAGGAGGAGGAAGAAGGGGACAATTTTCATGTCGCGTCAATCGCCTGCGGCGATCGTGGAGGCGTTAGAGGGCGCTGGAAAGGGGCTAGGCTTTGGAGTGGCGAGGGGTGATAGATGGGGGTTTAAGTTGAGGATGGAGAGGATAGAAGAGGGGAGAATGGGAAAGTTGGCCATTACCGCGGAGGTTTTTGAGGTAGCGGCGGGTGTCGCCGTCGTCGAGTTTTCGAAGAACTCCGGCGATACCCTCGAGTACGCTAAATTTTGTGAGGAGGATGTACGGTCTAGATTGAAGGATGTCGTGTGGGCCTGGCCGGGGTGACGGGGGGACCGGCGATATCCGGTATTGGATAGGTTTTTTTAATGACGTGCAGGCCACTCGGATTCTGTGAATACTGCCGCGTGGCTAGTGTCCTGTGGGACCAATGGGCTGAAGGAGCTTTGACTTTTTTGTAAATATCTATTTGTGAGATATTTGTGACGAGATGCGCTGGACATAGATTATGTATAAAAAGTAGCATGCAAAGAGAATTAATGAGTAATGTTTTTTTTTTAATATTCATAAATTTAGATATTTAAGAGGAATTCTCTTTTATATATCATAAGAAAATTTATTTGAGCAAATATAAATTTTAATGAAATTTCTAAATTCTAAAGCCTCTAAATATTATGATAAAAGTTTTTAGAAATAATTATGAGATATTTTGTTATATTTTTTCAGCAAATTTATAATCGAGATAATACAATTTAACTATATAACTAATGTCAATTACGATCACTCAGATATTAGGAATAATAATTGAAAATTTTATTAAAATTCATATTATTTTTTTACACTTGCTGTTATGATATAAAAAACTATCACTACTTTTACTATCATAGCTTGTACAACAAACTCACTAACTTCATCTTCTCTATAGTAATTTTTCTAGATGGAGTAGAGTAGCAATGAATTTCCCCATCATACAAAAACTTAAAAAACTAAAAGTATAAATAATCATGGCAAAGGTTCCTAGGATCTTAAAATGAGGAATGAGGCTTCGTGCAAGGCAGTTATTGTAGTCCTTCCAAAGAATGAGATTTAGATGACATAATGTTATGGCGAACATGAGATTGAAAACAATCAAAATGCGTAAGATGGATGAATGATTTTACGATATAAAATTTAAAGCTAGTTGGTATTTGTTGAATAATAGACTTTGTCTGATTTAATTATGGTTTTCATGACATGGACCTTATGGGTAGATCCTAGAATGTGGTGGGGATGCTTACATCTTGAATGTTATGACTAAGGAAGCTAGGTTTTGTGTCGAGGAATGGATGCAAGGCAATGAAAAGATGAAGAGGTTCTTAAAGAGGCTATGATGAGTATGTACAAAGCAACTCCCTCATAAGTGCCCCACTTTTTTAGCCTTCACTCCACTGTTGCCTTAAAATCTAAAGAAGATCATATATAATGATTTTTAGGCCCTATACAATTTTAAGAATTATGCTCGTTATATTACATACTTTGAATAATGCACTCTAGTAGATGGAGGTTTGCTCATACAGCATCGAGAAGTTTCTATCATAGTTTGATATGTAAAGTGAGAATAGTGCTTTGAGGGACCTTGTGTTAGGCTTGAGTCAAGTGATTGCCAGAATGAATACTCTTAACAAAAATTGTGCCTAATATGTTAACAATCATAAGGAGATAATATTTATTGAGATTAGTGCTAATCATGCTAATATGCTCCAAAGAGGCTACAACCTTGAAAGCAACATTATATCATTTCTAGTCACCATGGGTGCCCCATACACGAAAATTTAGATGGTTATTATATAGCTCACCACCCAATCTTATTGAGTAGAAAATATGATCAATTGAGAATTATCAGAGAGTTCATCAATCGATCTAGTGATTGACGGACTAAATTGCGAGTTCAAGATGATGGCGGCTAAGGTCACTATATTTTCTGATTATGGAGTCTCACTCATGATTGCAAAAATATAAAGACCAACATCTATTCGGCCAACCTTAATCAAATTGAAGGGCTTATTGATATTTTTATTTGATGTGTTGAGTTATAAATACTCTTATAGAGCCAATTATGAAAACCTATGATTGGAGTTGTTATATTATGAAATAATCATCACAATGAGATTGATGGCAACAATGCTAAAGTTGATGATAATTATCATAGTTGGTGACAATGATGATGATCAAGATTGGTGGCAATCGGCATTAGTGCTAATGACAATAACATGTGTCAATGTTAGTGGCAAGATTGATCAGGGTTTAAGGCGAGCGATAAGTTAGTGCATCTTGTGGTGGTGTACATTCAATGTTGCAATATATGAGACCAATTAGTCAACCCCAATCAAATTAAAGGGCTCACTGATGTTGTTAACTAATTTGTTGAGCTATAGATCCTTATTGAGACAAAGAGGGCCATTTATGATCAATGATTATTTGATTGGCATCATCATCACAATGAGGTTGGTTAACTTTGTGTCATTATTACAACCTTATAAATGGTAGTGGACATTGTGTGTTAAGTGTGGATCTTGAAGTCTTAAGAATTCTCTACCAATCCCTCTCCTATTAGAAAGCTTTAAATATATAAATATAAAATATGATATATTTATATATTTTTATAGAGTGTATTTAATCATTTTAACAAAAATTAAGAACTCTAGAATGTTTGGAGTTATCGTTTGATTTGATAATAATGATAAAAAATTTTAAATATTATTTAATATCTTAAATATGCAAAAATGAATGAAAAACATATTGAAATTCACCCTAATATCATTTTCATCAAGACATCTTCACAATATTTTTCCTCAAATATTCTTAATTTTATTTCCGCGAACTTAATGTCGAGCTCTATTTATATTATTTATATTATTTCTATTTATTAATTCTATAATCAAATATTAATTATTTTTATCAAGCTTATTCACAAGTTCACTATCGAACACGAATCGAGCTTCTTATCGAGCTTAATGTCGAGCTTGTTCACGAACTTCAAATGATGTTGTTCGCGAACATAAATGAGCTGAACGCATTAGTGTTCAAGCTTGTTTATTTAAGAATCGAGTATTTAAAATATTGTTCAAGTTTGTTTGTTTAGTTAATTAAACGATCACGAACGAGCTTTAATCGAACCGAACAATAAGTGGCTCGTCGAACGTTTGGTTCACTTGCAGCCCTACTAAGAAATGCTTAACCATAAACAATCAAAATGTTTTTTTTTTTTCCGGAAAACCTCTCGTTCCAAAATGTAAAATATTATGAAAATTTTTTAAGGTTTGTAAAATCGTAAAATATTCATGCATCCAATAAAATTTTTTAAATTATCTATTATTGAAAGATAATTCATAGCCGCATTTTGAAATTGAAAGTTTTTTTTTTTTGGGAGAAAAATTGAAAGTTTATAAATCAGAAAGAAAAGAAAAACGTAAAATGTTGCTGCCCAGGATCGAACTGGGGACCTTTAGTGTGTAAGACTAACGTGATAACCACTACACCACAGCAACTTTTTACTTGTTTGCATAAAATGAATTATATAAATAAAACGCCGTGCTTTAAGTTTTAAATTTTAATTCCATTTTATTTAAATTTATTTTGCTTATTTCTAGTTCATATAAACTTTATTGTTAATATATTTGTTAGAATGCGCCATCCGTTAATATAAGATCGTGCATTTTGTGTTTTTAGTTGTGCTTTAAATTAATTATTATTTTAATATAGGCTAGAAATTATATAGGGAAGTATTTTTATTTTTTCTTTGTTTTTTAAGTTAAGTTTTGATACATCATCAAAAAATTACATTGATCGAGCACGAATCTTGGGGCAAAATCAAGACGGAAATTCAAAAATTAAATTCAGGATCATCTGAACTCTGATTTCAGTAAACTTATAGTTGAACTGATCGTCTCGGAAATACGAACCCAACGACACCAAATTCAACTCAATCCGAGCCCAAATGGGTCTGAATAGAAGACTCGAAGCACTGTTGGAAGGTTCGAATCATAATTTGAGTTACCAAACAGTCTCCAAATTTGACGAGCTTATAATCAAATCGAGCATCTTGATGAGACGAATCCAATGAGCCCAAGATCACTGAATTCTGACATCATTAAGACCTTCAAATATCTAATGAATGGTGCGCAATCATGGGATTCAATATCAGCCATCCATTCAACCACTCCCCATTTGCCCCTGATCTCACACCTATTTACGAGCTATGGCACTCCAGAAAATCTATAAATAGAGCCCTCATTTCTCATGAGAGGGAGGAAGAAGCCAAGAGAGAAGAAGGAAGAGAAGGAAGAAAGCTCCAGTCGCCTAGCTCCTCCTCGACCACCGCCGGACCACTAAGGGACGTCAGAGTGTTGTCGTACCACCGCCAGACCACCAAGGGACGCTGGAGTGCTGTCGCACCACCACTATAGTTCTTCCACACCACCGACGGACCACCAAGGGACATCAAAGTTCCATCCGAAGCTGAAGTACCCCTTGACGCGGAAGTGCCACTGCCGATCCACCGCCTGACACCGGAGTGCCGCCGGACCACCATCTGACAGTGGAGTGATGTTGGACTTTCGCAAAACTCTCAGTTGATATTTGTAATCTGGTCTTCTTCAAGGACAAGTCAGACCATTGTACTTTCCTCAAATTTTAGTGGAATCACTTTCAACTGGCCGGGCTAGGCCCCGTGGTTTTTTCCCTTTCCGAGTTTTTCACGTAAAAAATATTGTGTTCTCTGTGTGTGAGCAGGATATCCGTGCAACGCTAAGACGTAGAATTATAACTCTATCGCCGCGTATATTTTAGCATGCAACAAGTTTTATATTAAATAACTTTATTAAGTTAATGAAAATTCACATATAAGATAAAAGGGAATAGGAAATAAAAAAATCATCATTTTTGTGCAATCATCAAACAATAATTTATCTTTACTAATATTTAAGAATATTATATAATATAAAAAAAGAGATTTGGTAAAAATGAGAGGAGGATGATCTGATGGCATCCCAATATATTTCCAAGAGATATCACAATATGATTTTAGGAGAAAGCATTCAAAATTATTTTATTTATAATTATCAAAATTTATATATTATTAATCCTCCCAAATAAGAAGATGGAATCTTAAATTGAAAAAAATAAAAAGAAGGGAAAGTCAGAGGGTCGTCTCAAGCAAGGGATGCTAGAGAATTGGATGTACATAATATGAAGATATCAAAATTCTTAGTGCAAACCCTAATATGATTCCTTTTAAAAACTCTATACTTGATTAGAACCTATATGTGGCAATTATGATACTCTCTTATATAAATCTCACTTGGGATTCTAAGAACTTGTGTTAATTTATTCATCCGAAATATCATTAGGCAAGCATGTACTGCAAGTCATTTACGAAAAGATAAATGCCTTTGTAGTGTGGCTTTTCGTTTCTTCTAATAAAAAAATGATGGTATGCATAATGCATCTATCATATATCTAACCTCTAATGTGATTATGTT